ACTCTGCATGGCAAGAATCGCATTTTTGAGTTCATGAAACATGGATCGAATTGCATTTTGAAAGCTAAAATAGCAACTTTGGGTGAAAGGGTCGTTGCCATTTTTTGACGATTATCACTCGCTCAACCTCGCTATACATTGATCTATTTGGTCTAACACTTGGTCGGAGGAATATAGAAAAAATCTAGAATGGAGTTATGACATTTCCCCTTTAGATGATAGCATAGGTCTTTCCACCAGAAATAGGCCCTAAAGGTAATTAAGCTACTGTGAATCCGGAATCTACTAGCTAGAGATTCAGAATGAAACTTCATTTTTCTTTGAATTATCATTTAATTTTTTATACAATTTTAAGGATTTTTCCGGAGCTACATATGCACCTCTTGACATCAATCCGACAATTCGAGAAAAAACTTCGAGATTTTAAAATTAAAAAAATACACTAAAAAAATCGCAATAGTGTATTCCCTTCGGAAAATATACACTTAAAGTTGTAGTGTTTCTGTGCGTTTCATGCGTACCTACTAAGTTCATTGCAGGAGCTTTAAAAAATTGCATAAAATTCCTTCTGATGAAGTTCGAAGAAATGTTGCATCTCTGCCGTTGGCGCATGTGCAGAAAGCGGCGGTGCACTGCCAACGGGTTTCTTTGGCGAGCGTTTGCGGCGGCGGCTCGGAAATTTCGAGTGCAATTAGCCGGTGATTTTTCACGCAAGGTGACTCGGAATGTCGTAACTGTCACTCGGAGACGGAGTGCATGCAAAGAGGTAGCCCGGCGCGGATCTACTCGACATGTCGATTGTGGATGGAAGCCCGGTGAGTCCTGACGCGGTGATGAGTCCGTCCTTGGCGGTCGTCGTCCACGTCGCTGACGCGCCGACGCCGACGCCGACGCCGACGCCGACGCCGTCGTCCGCCGTCTCTTGGCGCTCCTGGCTCCTGCACTTCGCTCTTCGCTTCGCTACCGTGACATTGACCGAGGCTCCCAGCTCCGCTCTCTGCCACGCTGTCTTGTGCCACGCATCCACGTACTACCTATAGGAACAAGGGGAAACCAAAAATGTAAGAAGAAGGGCGAATCAAAACTGTGGGAACAGGAGGGAACCAAAAATGTAAGAATATGGGGGAATCAAAACTGTAGGAACAAGGGGGGAATCAAAACTGTAGGAACAAGGGGAACCAAAAGTGTAGGAGCAAGGGGGACCAAAACTGTAGGAACAAGGGGGGAACCAAAACTGTAGGAACGAGGGAGAACCAAAACTGTAGGAGTAAGGGGGAACCAAAACTGTATATAGGAAAAAGGGGGAACCAAAAATGTAAGAAGAAAGGGGAATCAAAACTGCAGGAACAAGGGAAACCAAAACTATAGGAACTGGGGGAAAAGGGATGGAAATCACACCCTCTTTTACGTTGATCCTTATGCAGCTTGCACGAGCACACTCCATTTTTATCACAAATATTTAGTTCTTTTTAGCATAAAGAGTCCAATTATGATAACCATTAAGCAGAAAATTCGCCGTGAGCCGGCCTCCAAATTCCTGAAAACTTAAATAGCGTGCATTGAGGTTCCTCTGCGTACTCTTGGAGGCCTTGACGCTACACAAGAAAAACAATTAATGATCGGACGCCTATGTCCGTGTTCTTCATCTCGTAGCTGCGAATTTTTTAAAGCCTGCGTTTCTTATTTTTTAGCTAAACGCTCACAGCGATGTGTTACTGAAATTCTAGGAGCATTATTACATGTATCCTCGGAGACTTTAACGCCATGCCTGAAAAAACAACTATGAACTGGCGCCCTGCGCTCATGTTTTTGTTTTTTACCTCGTAACTCTTGTAGCGTAATGTCTCATGCCTGCACGTCTTACTTGAACTTTATTTTGGCTACATCCTCGCTCCAGTGCTGTGTTGCCGAAATTCACGGAGGGTTATACGTATCACTACGTTGCCAACATTACAGAAAATTCCGAATTCCTAGGCATTGACACCTCGCCACAGGTGTTCTTGATGCATGTGGTGTGCGGAGCAGTGGAGTGAGGAGTCGGGCGTACAATGAGTGCCAGTCTCCGGTGGAGCTCGGCGTGGCCCGGTGCGGCGCACAGTGGATTGAGTCAATCAAAGAAGTCGAATATGAAATTTTTGACTATAACTACAAATTTTTATGTTTAATTCATCACATTTTAAAATTCAAGGGGTGGTTTTGGAGGAAAATTTCACGAGGAAACCAATGGAACTACTTTTAGAGCCTCAAAGTTTTGTATGAGCGGAGTTATGAGCTTTTAAAAGTTCCAAATGTTGTCCGACCTTCCCTATTGACTCGATCCATTGTGCGGCGGAGCGTTTCAGGCTCTTCCCAATCCGCGATTCCGCGCGTCTTCGACGACCAACAAATCGGTCTAGATTCCGATCATCGCGGCCAGTCGCACCACGCTCGTGCAGAAGCGTTGTCAAGTTATGCGCGAAAGTGTGAATTAAGCGGGGAAAATTGAACCTTCTGAAAAAAAAAGTTACGGACTGAATAGACATACCGTCCGTTCCGGGCTCAGAGACCGAAATTTCCGGGTGCTGGAGCCGTAGTTTTGATTGCTCCAGGTGCCACGCCCGGTACTTCCGGCCTCCAAGCCCGGAACGTGGACGGTATGTCTATATGACCCGTAATTACGGCCTCCAGAACCGGAGTTTTTTTTTTCAGTGTGAGCAACCAAGTCCTTTGGGTTGATCTGACCCAAAAAAATTATCGAAGTAACACCAAGCACGGAAATTTTTAACTGTGTGTGTGGAGACTTTCTCTCCAGGGGACGTAGGATCATGTTAGTTGTAACCTCGTCATAGGAATTATCCGTTACACATAATGAGACCCAAACAATTATAAAGACATAATCACGACGGTGAAACTCTAGAACCACGTATCTCGGTTTGCGACGTTGCAGACTTCCTGCCATACCTTATTTTTTTAAGTGAAGAACTACTCAACGTCAATTGATAACTTGTTGTTAACTGTTGTCAACTTCCGGAATTTTTCTCCTCTGTGCAGAGCAAAAATTTTAGGATGAACTTCGAGGAATGATGTTGATTTGTTCTCCTTTAAAACAATAAAATAGGAACGAAGTTTTTCAAATAACGCAAACGAGCTACGTGGCTCAGGATTTTTGCCGTTGAGAAGCTTTTTCACAGCTACCAATGAGAATAAATTGATAATTATGGCTTCTTCTTGTTAAAAAAAAAAAAAAAAAAAAAAAAAAAAAAAAAAAAATTAAAAATTAAGTTTTTAAAAATTCCTGATAGTGAATATCAAAATAATTCCAAACTATAGTTGAAAATCGAAAATGAACTCGGAAACGAAAGGAATAACGCTGGCAACGCTGTTCGCACCTCCCCCTTCCTCTTCTGGTGCCGGAGCTGAGACCAGTTATGTCTGCCCCGATTCACTTCCTCAGTTCCTCACACATTCACTCACTGGTACACTTACCTTCACATACTTACACTATCACTCGCTGCACACTTTTCCTGCTTCAAGAGCAACTCCGAGAGTTCACGGTCAAAGCAGGACTTTCGATCCGGAACGGACTTAACGCGAGTTTTAACTTAAAAGTTACTCGATTGAAACCCTCCTCTTCATCGGAAAGCAGAATTAGGGAAACTATCTTGATTTTTGCAAATTCATCTCGAATTCGATATACATATTTTTCATGAGATTGAGAGGTCAGACACCCGGTTAACTAAGAAAATTCGGGTTCATACTTACCAACGACGGTAAAACTAAAAATCAAAGGGTCTTGATTGACACATTTCAAAAATACCGTCCCTCTTCCATCTCTTGAAACAGATATTTACTCACTATTCACATTGAATTTGTAGAAACATTTCTCAGATAATAATTGAAGGAAAAGTATGCAAAACCGCACAAAAATATTAGATTTTTGGCATTAGAGGTCGGGTTGGTTTGCAAATTGGGTGGTATTGTTTTTCTCGTTCCACCCTCAATACCTTTGCCACTTCGATTCCTATGCTGCCACGAATGAGAACACATTTTGCTTACCTCGTTAAATGAAGGCGCATCTATCCAGGCAATTTAATACATACATATTCAAATTGTAAGGACTGTAGATCTCCAAATATCTAGATATAGCATTATCAAAACCTCAAATCATCGGGAAGGTAACTGTATGGTAAGAACGCGTAAACATATGTTTAACCAAGAAAGAACGACTTGGGACTTTCAGGCATCATTTTTGGGTAAAATTCTCTATGGATTTCTAATTTTTTGGGGTACTACTAACAATGAAGACAGAGAATCATGTATATGCATTCTTTTAACACGTATAATTTAGGTGCGAGCCCTTATTCGCTGATTATTATTCATTGGTGATGGTTTTCTGATAATCCAAATTTCCCGCATAACTGGATTATTGCGGTCCTAATGGAGATGTTGCATGTGTGAGGAATTTGCGATTTGACTGTTGATTATAATGTAAAAGTTCGTGAGAAACACGACACTGGTTTTCTCTGAAATCAACTCTCAAGCTCAAAAAAAGCTCTCAAGTTGCGGCCAAAATGGAGGGGATATCCCACCCTACCCTGATATCCACATCTACATCAAGACAAACACTCCACGCACAGATAGGGAGCAAATACATTGACAGGGCTGCCACTTTATTTGGGGACTCCAAAACTGAAATCACGGCAACCCTGCTAATGTATTTGCTCTCTATCATGGAGAGTTTGTTTTGATGTAGAGGTGGACTCTCAGGGTATGGTGGGATATCCTCTCCATTTTGGTCTCAACTTGAGAGCTTTTTTTGAGCTTGGGAGTTGATTTTAGAAAAAAACAGTAGGTAGCACCACCGTGTTTCTCGCGAACTTTTACATACGAATCAACAGTCAAATCGCAAATTCCTCACACATGCAACATCTCAATTGACTTGGATAGTTCGAAATCTAATGTGGGTATGAATTGATAACATGAATCATGATAGTAATGGTGCTCCTAAATTTGTGTTGCAGATCAGGATGCTGCGGGAGCTCTTCCTCGTGGTTCTTGGTGCGATCGTGGTCGCAGCCCAAAGGAGACTGGCTCTTCCAGACCCCCGAAGCTGTGCTAGCAGTAAGTATCTTTTGCTTTTGCTTTAACTTCAATTATAAAATTTCAAAACCTATTATAGCAGGATTCTATTTCTTATAACCTACTTCGTGTTCTATTAAAAAAAAATAACATTCTTCAGTAAAATTTTTGAGATATTTTGAATACCCTAGTAGCAGAAACGTAGAAGGAAAAGATAAAGATTATGTACGACATTTAATTTTTTTTTTACATAACACATGCATACGAAAGTGTTAAAAGTGAAAATTTTCATGTAACCATTATATAAAAAAAGTCATAATTTTCGTGAGCTTTTCGCAAACGTACTAAAAAATCTTCTAATTCGCGAAAAGCTCACGAAAATTATGACCTTTTTTTCATATAATTGTTACATAAAAATATTCACTTTTAACACTTTCGTATGCATGCGTCATATAAAAAAATAAAAAAAAATTGCGTATAAACAAATTACCTTATCTAGCTTTTATCATTTTTCATATATTATGGCTAGGTCTGAACTTTGATTTTTTTTTATATAAGCGTTACACGTTTCTTATGTAAAACTACCTTTTAGATAACAGATATATTTTTTTATACTTTTTTCAGAGAAACAAAAATTTGTTCTGCTACTGGGGTAGCGCTCTTATATGCGCCAGGGTCTTGCGATATAAGTACTTTTCATCCCGTAAAATTACGCGAGAAACACGATAGTACCACAAGTTTTCTCTTAAAGGAACTTAAAAGCTCAAAAAAGCTCTTACTGTTGCGGGCGTAATGGAGGGAATCCCTCACGCTACGCTGAGAGTGCACCGCTGTATCTGCATAATACTTCGGCACTCCGTGCACAGATTGGGAGCAAATACATTAGCAGAGCTGGCATTTTATTTGAGGAATCCGTGGCTGGAACCACGGTAGCTCTGCTAAAGTATTTGAACTGCATTTTGCAATTTGGACCTATGAATTCTGGCTCATCTGAATAAACCCTTATGTGCATAGGGAAACTAATGGCACATACGTTGTTTTTAAACCGGCCCGGCATTTATAGTTCCTAATTGAAAAATGTAGTCCATTTGATCCTTATCTGTACACAGAGAGTTTGACAGAACACAGAGCAGCGGTGGGCTCTCAACTTTCAGTTTCATTCAGGTCTCAAGTTAGAGAGCTTCTTTTTGAAGTTTGGGAGGCTGCTTCAGAGAAATGCAGTGGCACCATCGTATTTCTCGCGAAAATTTGCACAAAAAAAGTATGTGAGGTAGTGTGTGGCCGAAGTGCTAGGTAATTAAATATTAAATTCAGAATATTCGACGCATATGTAATTTATTTTTTAAGTCGAAGCTTTTCGACGCATTACGTATCATCGTCAGGACACATGGGAAATACAATATTGTCAAAGATCATTTTGTTAAAGTACATCAAATAACACATTTTGGCTTGAGACTTTATTGGCATGGTGATAAAAGCGATTACTGTTATCTTTTCTCGAGCTCTTCAATAAGATAAGTTAATTTTTGTTCCAAAATGAGACCCAAAAAGGCCCTTAATGAGACTTATCCTTCCGAGGTGAAACTGAATAGACCTGCACGATTTTCGCCATAATAAAGTCTAAATGATGTATGAAATTTCAAAGCAAAGAAAAAGGACAGCATTAGGAATATAATTAGCCTGATAAAAAATGATTTTTTTATTCTTCTTTGGGACTGCAATTAAGCTCAAAACCTAGAGTCACCCGCTCTGACTCAGCTTTCCTCTAACTTTGACCCACATTTCCTTTCGTGCGCCTTCAAAATGTGGATGATACCAGAATACATCCAAACATCACCAATAGTATACTTTCACAATTTTACGGTGCCCTGCTTGACCGGTGCGGTGGCGTTTGCGGACGTGGCGTTTGCGGATTCTAAGAATCGGGTGGCGTTTGCGGATTCTCATATTTTGACGGTGGCGATTGCGGACAGGCGGAACAGGGCCGGTGGACTTTGCGGACCAGAGAATTTCGGCGGTGGCGATTGCGGACGGAGGGGTAGGCACGTACATATGCTGCCCCCCACCCCTGCGCTGTATATTAAAGAGAAAAATTACCGGAGAGGCTCTGGATTCCTTTTCGTGGATGTAGAATGAAAAAAATATTAGTATTAAACATTAGTATTATATTAGTATAAAAACATATGAGCAGTGAACATACAGTAAATTTTTAAAAAAGGCATATCAGAAATCGCAAGAAACTGAAAAATCGTCAGTTTCAGTCCATTTTTAGGATGAAAAACATGTTGTAAATTCTAGTCCAAAATTACTGAAAGTCAAAAAATTAAAATGTGTTTCCATTTTTCGTATGTAATTTTTTAACTTTCAGTAATTTTGGATTAGAATTTACAACATGTTTTTCATCCTAAAAATGGACTGAAACTGACGATTTTTCAGTTTCTTGCGATTTCTGATATGCCTTTTTTAAAAATTTACTGTATGTTCACTGCTCATATGTTTTTATACTAATATAATACTAATGTTTAATACTAATATTTTTTTCATTCTACATCCACGAAAAGGAATCCAGAGCCTCTCCGGTAATTTTTCTCTTTAATATACAGCGCAGGGGTGGGGGGCAGCATATGTACGTGCCTACCCCTCCGTCCGCAATCGCCACCGCCGAAATTCTCTGGTCCGCAAAGTCCACCGGCCCTGTTCCGCCTGTCCGCAATCGCCACCGTCAAAATATGAGAATCCGCAAACGCCACCCGATTCTTAGAATCCGCAAACGCCACGTCCGCAAACGCCACCGCACCTGCTTGACCATACATGGGAAAGCTTAAGGAAAGTCTTTATAGTATATTGTTTTGTGAGTGAGGCTGTGAGGCTTTTGCTGTTACGTTTGAGTGAATCGAGAAAATTCACTTTATCTACATATTTTCACACTCTAAATTCAAGCTCGTATTTTCTGATGGCACGAAAATGAAATAACCGATTTTAGTTTTAAAAATTAACGTATATTTAAAAGTAGTAAATCATCAGCAGAAGCTTTAACTCAGCAACAAAGCGCAAGTGGCACTTGAAATAGAATTTCATACAACTGATGCATGAATAGCTATTTCATGGGAAAAAAGCAAACTCGTAAATTAGCTTCGGTTCATCTTGAAGAATAATTGTAAATGAACCAGCCGGGAAGGTAATACAAACTGCATAGGGATCCCAACCGTGAAAAACTAAATGCTATGATACTATTCTCAGCAAATGTCAGGGATATTACGACAGCTGACGTTATGCAAACTCGATCATCATCAAAATAGAATGGTGTTTTACCCATCCTACGCACATACGGTTCAATCTCGTCCAGTGGCGTGGCATGCTTTACAATATATCGATTGATCTGTCATTTAAACCTATGAAAAAGGGTCAATATACAAAGTGCTCGCAACGAACATTTATGATGATTGATTTTTTACCATAGCTTCAAATGGGGAAATATCGATAATCGGTCAAATTCGCCACGCCAGTGATCTCGTCCTGCATGCCCGAGGGCCCCTTTATCGAGATAGCTCAGATACGTGAAATTCATTTCTGATCGGCTACTGTTTCTTCGGTTCGGATTTGCTTATAAAAGGGCACAAAAAGTCATTAAGATGCATTTCCAACGGTTGCAGATATTTCCAGTGGCGGGTCCTGACGTCTGGCAAAAATGGCTTTTCTCCCTTTGAATCTGAGTTGAATTATCGATTCTTGTCGGAGCAACTGGCCCGTCCGGGAATTGATTGAATGGAGATGTTGCATGTGTGAGGAATTTGCGATTTGACTGTTGATTCTTACGTAAAAGTTCGCGAGAAGCACGATGGTGCCACTGATTTTCTCTGAAATCAACTCCCAAGCTCAAAAAAAGCTCTCAAGTCGAGGCCGAAATTGAGGAGATATCCCACGCTATCCTGAGAGTCCACATCTACATCAAGACAAACCCTCCATGCAAAGATAGGGAGCAAATAATACATTGCTAGGGCTGCCACTTTATTTGGAGACTCGAAAACTGAAAACACGGCATCACTGCTAATGTATTTGCTCCCTATCTTTGCATGGAGAGTTTGTCTTGATGTATGATGTGGACTTTCAGGATAGCGTGGGATGTCCCCTCCATTTTGGCTTCAACTCGAGAGCTTTTTTTGAGCTTGGGAGTAGATTTCAGAGAAAACCAGTGGCACCATCGTGTTTCTCGCGCACTTTTACCTAAGAATCATTGTCAAATCGCAAATTCCTCACACATGCAACATCTCCATTCTATGGGTTTAAATAGAGAAAAGAAATGATGCCAATTTGCTGAATCCGCCAATGGATACTTTAGAACAAAATTGAATAGAAAAGCAAGGCTGCAACATGAGGAGAACGAATGAAATGAAGAAGGCGCTGGGATGAAGGCCTCGGAAATAGGATATACTGCAGACCTGGAGAGACGTTTTTTCTCAGTGACGCTTTATGGCTCCAAGACTCTAACCATCATGCCCTAAATATTATTTCAAAGAGCTTTGCGTAAGTTTTTGCACCGGTAGATTTCCATGAAAAAGCTCGCAACACCCGATAGAGGGGACTTCCTGTTTCCCTGCCACGGAACAATAGCGGGTCGTAAAACTTAATCTTGTGGTAAACCACTGCAGTATCGCAAGCCAGCCTTATTCCGGGTGCCCTGTAGGAGTTTCTCCGGTTCTACATCACTGTGTGGTCCTCGAGTTCCAAGTACTTGAGGATAATAGCAAAGTTTCGCTCTTGTTTGCGGTGGCATCTCTATTCTCTACCCGACTCACTGATACGCCACGGGAACGCAAATGCCTCTCAGGGTGAGCTCCATTTCGAATGTAAACTAATACGGTTCGGGGTTCATTCGAGGATGGACTTGCGTGGTTTCGTCTCGAGGGTTACGAAACAACAGACTCCGCGCCCTGCGATAATGACGTGGCGTCCTTGACTCAATGCCAAGTGGGGGCGGGGAAGCACTTTAAATTCAGTACATCTCCTCCCGGTAAGTTTGCACTTTCTCCGAAATACTTCGGCGATCCCGAGTAAGTTTGCCAAACCGAGCTCGTAAGAGACCAAATAAGAAATGCACCCGTCGCGTCGTGACGCGGGTTCGAGTTCGGCTCGCCGCGGTTACATGTGCCATGTGCCCTGCCGAATGCCCTCGCGGTTGATCCGGGTGAAATTGGATTCACGTGCATCTTGCCGCTCGGCGAAAGCATTATTTTGCATACGAAAAAGGGAGCGTTCGTGCGATGCGACTCAATACCAGTGGCGTGGCGTGCTTTGCGATATATCGATTGATGGGCCATTTAAACCTATGTAAAAGGATCGATAGACAGGGTGTTCGCAGGGAACACCTTAAAAATCGATTCTTGACCATAGGTTTAAATGGCATAATAATCGATACATCGCAATTCACGCCACACCACTGCTCAATACCCACGGCTGAGTTCGAAGTCATTTCCTGGAGAGCTCGTTTTCTCAGGGAGGCCTGGCTTTATATGTTACACAATGTGATTAAGGGAGGTTTCGGAACGCCTGTGACAAAATACACTGGAAAAAAAAACGCATTGGATCTAGAGTCCAGACTCTTGAAAACATTGACGAGAAAAAATACTCTTGATTCAATCAGATTTAAGCTTAAATCAAAAGGAAATCCGCTCAAATTGAGAGGCTTTGGTTCTTGATTTAAGCTTAAATCTAATTGTATCAAGAGTAGTTTTTCTTGTTGATGTTTTTAAGAGTCTGGACTCTAGATCCAATGTGTTCTTTTCCCAGTGTATCGGAAAAAAAGTGAAGTTGATTTAACGTTCTGGATGTAAAAGAGTGTGCGAGAACTTTTAAAATGCTGTATTACTTGCCACAGCATTTAGTTTTAAATCTTGGCATTGCTAAAGTAACTGCTGGAGCGCGTAATTACGCATTTTTTTAGTTCTCGCACACTTTTTTTTTTTTTACATCCAGAATGTTAAATCAACTTCACTTTTGTAATATTGCAATTTTTACGGAGCTTACGAAGAACATACTACCCTTCAGTACGTCGTGGTAACAAAATAACAACTTAATTTGGATAAAGGCTGCAGAAGGCTGTTGTAGTAACAACAGCAGTAGTACTTTATTTTTCCTTTGAAAAATTATTCAACATAGTTTCTTGAAACATGTTTTCATTTTCCTTCTCTGTTAGTAGAACACTGGTAAAAAAAATCTCTTGGTTCAAGAGTGCAGTTTCTTGTCGCCGGATTTAAAGAGTGTGGACTCTTGTTTCAATGCAAAATCCGCTTGAAACAAGAGTTCAAGACTCTTAAATCCGGCGACAAGAAACTGCACCCTTAGGTCAATGCAATGCGGCATTGATCCAAGAGGTTTTTTTTACCAGTGAATGTTCTGAGAGACTTTAAAACATCGCGATGGTAATGTGCACACCACCATCGCGATGTTTTAAAATCTGTTTTAAAAGTGCGAAACCACATGTGGTTTCGCACTTCAGTCATCGATCTATCATATAACTATCCTTTTCTAAAGTGATAGACTTGTTCACTGTTGTAAGGTTGGCATGATTCATCCTCTGGTGCTTTGATTGTAACATTCATTTTTTTTTCAGGATTACAGCACTCGACGTACAGAGATGCTCGAGGTGTGACTCACTCGTATTTCTTCAGTTGGGAATACCCACCAACAAGGAATTTGGAAGTTGACTGGCTCGACGCTAGGAACATCTGCAGAAGACACTGCATGGACGCAGTCAGTTTAGAAACTCCACAAGAGAACGAATTCATCAAGCAACGTTTAGTCAGAGGTGAGTCCAAATCCACATCTTGGCAGATAAGTCAAAATTATGCAAACGATCTCGCCTGAATGCTTCATACCACAATTCGGAAAGGTTTTCAGCAAAAAGGAACCAAGCTGCATACTGCAACAAGGTGACATCGATAACCGGAGGTTTCAAATTTCATTTCTCCATCAGAAACAATGTTGAACATGAATTTGGCCGAACTCTGTTCGATTTTTCTTGAAATAAAAGCTTTGTATTTTTCAATTACGCAAAATTTTGCAATACTTTTAAATGTGTACCATGTTGTAAGGTAACAACCTAGCACTTAACCGTTTCCAAAATAAAAATTAATCGAAGGGATTGCATATCGATATGCGACCAACAGTATTTAATACAAACAGGAACTTTGTAGTAATACAGTAGAGCCTTCTAATCTGTGTTGTCTCGTCTGATATGCGCGGAAAAATTTCCTTCAGAAATACGAGTATGCAACCCCCCTTCCGTCATGCTCGAATTGTTGCCACAGATTCGAGTTTAGCCTCACGTGTAAACAGCCTAACGCACAATTCAGTGAGATTTCCTCAGAGACTTTAACGCTGACACTAGAAAAACAACTAAAATGAACGGGCGCCCTTGTGAATGTGGAAAAACACCGTGTGAAGGGTAGTGATTGGCTATAGGTTGAACAAACCAGTCTTATCGATACTAAGAAAGTTTTTAAAAAAAACCTATGTGCAATAATGTAGGACTCGACAGGGACTCATGCAAAATTGAATATGAGCTTTGAACGCGATTCTTGACGAGAAGCTTGAGCAAGGGAAATAATTCCAGCAAAAACCACCCTCAGCTCCACTAAACTATCAACCCCTTTAGGGGTCAAAGGATGGGTTGATAAAGGGGTGACGGAACACAGAACGTAAAGTCCAAACAGCAGGCCGATCATTGAAATTGATAGACAAAGCTATAGACAAAGAAGACAAAAAGAATATGAAGGGATCCTATTAGTCGAAGTGGGTGGTTGCCGTGGACAAAGGAGGTAGGTAATAGACTAACTAAAGGCAAGCCATGAGAGACCGTATTTAATCAATCTAATTCTCCCTTAGTCTATAGGACCATTTTAACCAATAGGATCGCTCTATACTCCCTATGTCTTCTTTGTCCATAGCTTTGTCTATCAATTTCAACAATCGCACTGGAAAAAAAACACATTGGATCTAGAGTCCAGACTCTTAAAAACATCGACAAGAAAAAGTACTCTTGATTCAATCAGAATCTAGCTTAAATCAAGAACCAAGCCTCTTAATTTAAGCGGATTTCGTTTTGATTCAAGCAAAAATCCGATTGAATCAAGAGTATTTTTTCTTTTCAATGTTTTCAAGAGTCTGGACTCCAGATCCAATGTGTCTTTTTTCCCAGTGCGGCCCGCCTCTGATTAATTTTCGCGGATCGAGGACACTAATCAACATGAGATCTTAACTGGATCCAAGGGGGTTCCCGCGCACAGTGGAGCCATCCAATCATCCTCGAGAGATTTGAATAAGCCGGAGCATAGTGCAGCTGCCCGGCTTTGTTGATCTACGGTGGAATTCTTATGCAAACGGACGGGACGGCGCGACGCTATGAGGTGGCTGGATAATTAAGTGAAGGAGTGACACAAGCTTTCGACTTTCCAACCGATAGGTCATCGCGAGCACCGTTGCGGAATGGTATCGTTAGCCGCGATCGCATCGCCACGCCGCCGCACAGTGGATCCATTCTTCGAGAGCACAGATGGAAAATTTCATCAAATTTATTTTTATTTATTTTTTATTTTTTTATTTATCTATTTTTATTTATCTATTTTTTTTTTAAATTTATTTTTTCGAGATCTGATTGAATCGAGAGTATTTTTTCTTGTCGATGTTTTTAAGTCTGGGCGCTACATAGATCCAATGTGTTTTTTTTCCAGTGTGGCCTCCTGTATGCATCCCAAAAAGTTTCATCAAATTTCATCAAATTTATTCGCGTGAAATTTCACAAAATTTTATGAAACTTTTTGGGATGCATACAGGAGGCCACACTGGAAAAAAAAACACATTGGATCTATATAGCGCCCAGACTTAAAAACATCGACAAGAAAAAATACTCTTGATTCAATCAGATTTAAGCTTAAATCAAGAACCAAGCCTCTTAATTCGAGCGGATTTCCTTTTGATTGAAGCTTAAATCTGATTGAATCAAGAGTCCTTTTTCTTGTCAATGTTTTCAAGAGTCTGGACTCTAGATCCAATGTGTTTTTTTCCAGAGCAAGAAGCGTCTGGAAACACTTATTCTCGATTTTTACATTTTTCACCCCAAGCCTAAAACATTCACGCGTTGCAAATATTTGCATTTGTTTTAGAGGTTAGGTTAGGGCAACCTTTCTCTCAAAACTTCCCTTTGTGCCCCCCTTCGTGTACAGCACCTCAGCAGGATAGTATAACACTGCCGCATTAACAGATAGACCATCTGGCACGCTTTCCAAACTTCTAAGGGTTTACTTAATAATTCCGATAAAAATTAACTAATTTCAAATTTTATGAAATTAATTTGAGCCTTTAGAATCACTTTCCATATCTGTTTGAGAGAGGTCGAACGTGTGTGTTTTCTTTAACTAAAATTGCGAAATTCCATGTTTAATTCGTTTAATTTTAAATTTCAAGGGGTGCTCCTCAAAGAAAATTTTATACAAGAAAATCAATGAAAGCACATTTGAATTTTTGCATGAAAGGAGTTATAAGCTTTTAAAGTTTCTAAATTTTGTCTGAATTCTCCCTTTGTGCGCCGACGACGCCGACGCGTTGTGCCCGGGAGCCGGCTCGCAACTCATATTTATTCATCAGCTGATTGGTCCGCAACGTGCGCCGCGACGCTCTCCTCGTCCGCTAAGCCCTGGCCGCATTGTGCAAGAAGAGATGGAAAGAAGGAGAGAAGGAAACGGAGAGAGATAGATCAAATATGCAGGGAGGAGAAAGCCAGGAAAAAGAGAGGAAGACTCTGAGAAAAATGTCTGCACGAGGACACAATTCCTGAACACTCTATTGGACGTCCTTTTAATATTTGCTTCATAGGATTTATTTTTTAGACAACCGGAACGGAGTTTTTGCATGGGTAAGAAATTTGTGATTTAAGTAATTTGTCTGATGTAAAACTTCACGAGAAACACGGTGGCGCCACTGGTTCATTCTGAAATCAACTCATAACCTCAAAAAAAGCTCTCCAAGTTAAGGCTGTTGTGGAATCTCAACGTAGCGTGGGATATCCCCTCCATTACAGCCTCAACTTTGAGAGCGTTTTTTGACCTTGGGAGTTGATTTCAGAGAAAATCAGTGGCACCATCGTGTTTTTCGCGAATTTTTACAAAAGAACGAATGGTCAAATTGCAAATTCCTCACACATGCAACATCTCCATTCAATGAGATTTCCTCGGAGACTTTAACGCTGACACAAGAAAAACAACTAAAATGAACGGGCGCCCTTGTGGCTGTGAAAAACACCGTGATAAGGGTAGTAATTGGATGTAGGTTAAACAAACCAGTCATGCCGATATTAAGAGGTTTTTTTTTTTTTTTAAAAACATAAAAAAACTGTGTGCAATAGGAGCAGATTTCAGAGAAAACCAGTGGCATCATCGTGTTCCTCGCAAAATTTTACTCAAGGGAATGCATTTTAATCGCAAATTCTTGACGTGTGCAAGAACTCCATTCCCGAAAGAATTCAAGAAATCTTATGAGAAAATTATTCTTGTAGAGACTCCGGGATTTGCTCCGTATATGTAGGTGAAATTTACCTTTCCTCAAATAACCCTGCGAGAGGAGTCCGATTATTTCAAAATATCTCTAGCTGCTCTAAGAAGTACTCCAGATTAAAATATTTTCAGAAAGAGTTCCGTGCGTTTCAGAGGGGAATCCGGTTTTTGCAAAAGAAAACTTGTCGTAAATAGTCAAAGGGAATTGTGCGTTTTCCAAAAAAAAAAGCTCTAGTTGTTCTGGCAAGGATTCCAGCTGTTTTCAAAATAATCCGGTTGTTTCGAAAGGAATCTCGGGCGTTTAAAAAATATTTTCAAACAACAGCAAGCTTTGAGATGAAAATACAACGCGACTGCTTTTCCGAAACCAGCCGGGAAAAGTGTTCCTCGGCAGTTTTTTCCGCAACTTAAGAACTCGGCGTTTTTCCATTGCACAGTACAGTTCACGGGCTTGGCGGACAAGGCGCATAAGTGCAGTTTTTTGAAAAACTTGAGATATTAATGATTTCAAGTAAAACTAGTCTTATTGCATATTCTGTGAAAAATGCGCTCCCAAATTCAATATTTAAGCATCAAAAAGTCAGTCCGTACTTTCTTTTCGCCACAAGGAGCCATGTAATTTCGAAACCTCAAACACGTACTTCTCGAAATAGCAAAAACTGCACTTATGCGCCTTGTCATCCGAGCCCCTCAGTTGACACTGCTGAGTTTCGCACGTTGAATTGAGTGAATTCTTCAATAAACATTTATATTTTTAAAAGGGACAGATTGCGTCATGATACGTCATCAGGCCCCGCCCCGAGAACGTCACCAGCTATTAACGCATACCTGCGCTTGCGCATGAATCTATAATTTGGGTCTGAGGTATTATGACCCCAGATCATAGACCGCGGCGTCCCGGGCGGCGTGGTGCGGTGCACAGGTCAGGCGCATGTGCAATGCACGTTCATCCGACAGCTCGGAGCCGGATTCATGCGCGGCATCTATTTGTTTCACTCAAGCAACTCTCCGCGTTGCAGCATACGAAGTACTCGCTCGGATTTCAACGATGATTCTGAAAGCCTGTCCGAGTTGGGAAGGAGGGATCCCGGGTGACGGATGTTTGAGACGTTGTGAGTGCTAGATCACAGAAATACGATGTATATCGCAGGCAAATAGTCAAACTAGGCATTTTGTCAAATGCCTACACAGGTTGTCAAATTTCGAAATTCACGAAGTTTTGAATGTATTTAACGAAGCTGTCGATGTTGTGAATGTT